GGGTGCAATCCCCAATTTGTTGAAGACTAAGTGATAGAAAGGATGAAGGGGGTACCTAAGAGCGTTGAGATGCCCAACAGAGAGGAGTAACTCGTCTTCTCTGATGCCCTCGCCGGCGCAAAAATCAGTGCCTTTGGGGTATTCTGCAATTTCTACCCCTCGGGAATCTCGAATTCTTCCATTACGGATTCAATGGAGAACGGGATACGACGAATAGATAAAATTGCATTTCTTTCTTCCTTAGTGAGGATATTGTCTGACCCAGAGGTGGATGTTTCAGCCTGGATTGGGGAAGCACCCGGCTGATTAACCGAGTCATTTACAGGTGTAGGGAAGTTCGAAACCCTAGGTGGGGGAACCCTAATGAGATTAGGGGAAGATGAGGGAGTGGACTCAAAATCTACGATCTCTATACGCTCAGGAGTAGTCGAAGTACTCATAATGCAAGATTGAAGAGAAAAAGATGAAGAACTAACCTGATAAGACGACGGAATGAAGAACGCAAGAAATGTGGTGAGAGCAAAAGTAACCCTTATGGAATCTCTTAAGGCAGAATGGCAATGGGCAATCTTCGAACCGTCTTTTTACAAAATAGACAACCGTACAATTTCAATTCCCTTTTTAATTGAAGCCGCAATCCAATTAAAGAGGGAATTGGGGGCAAAATGTGGAGGGAAAAATCTTCCTCCAATGAGAACTGTACACGTCATCGCAATGTAAATACCCATCACAAATGTCAGAGGTCCATCCAGCTCAAAGCCCAGTCCAAGCTCGTTGACAGCCCAAAATCGTAAGACACTAGCCCAAGGTCACAGATAATTGATCTCTGTAGCATTGCTCAAGCCCGAAACAAGAAATCCAGCCCGTTGACAATGTCACATGGATCAGGTTACTTATAGCCCAAATCCATTGAAAGGAAATTAGTCTTATTAGAAGAAGGATACAGCAAAGAAAAAAACTACTACACAAGGAAAATTATACAAAGAAAGGAGCTCTATTTGTAAAGAATTTCTGTAGGGAAAGAATTGGAGGACAAGCAATGCGAGTCCTACCATAATTCAACCAATCTTTTGTGTATAAATAGAGGCCCAGACCTCCAATAAAAGAATCAAGCAATTCTACGCTTCTCTATATACTGTTCTTGTTTATTTTTATTGTTTACTGAGTGAGTTGTTTTATTTCTCTTAATCATTATTGGTTTGGTGAAATTTTGCACCTACACTTTTAACGGGCTGGATCTCTTATTTCGGGCTTGAGCAATGCTACAGAGATCAATTATCTGTGACCTTGGGCTAGTGTCTTATGATTTTGGGCTGTCAACGAGCTTGGACTGGGCTTTGAGCACGATGGGCCTCTGACATTTGTGATGGATATTTATGATTTCCAAAAACTAAATGTAGAAAGAATAATATACATATATATATATATATATATATTGTGATGATTAAAGATGAAAGTTAGAGAATATCATTATCGTAGATATTTAAGTCCTTAACAGAATATTGATATGAAGTGTCCAATGAACAACACAGAGATTAAATTGACTGCCCATTCTCGGCGTCTCTCGGTGCAAAATTGAATGATGTTACAAGGATCATTTCCTTTCATATTTAAGTAACCAAGAAATTGATCCACGAACTAAAGGCAAACCCTTATTGATTAAGTCACGTAAAGTAAAAGTGGTAACGCGATAGTGGCACAATTTAAGTCGCATAGAGTAAAAATAGGAGTGAAAACGCACGAAGCGTGAAAGCGAGAGCGAGCTCAAAGCATAAGAGCAACACAAGAACGATTGTGTGAAACAATATTTTTATAAAAATGAACAAAATTTTGTCTCTATTTAATTTAAGAGACAACTTAACCGGAGAAAACTCATTTGAAGTTTCAGTATATTGCATAAATCAAATAATAGTGGGAAAACCTAGCTTCTTAAATACTATTAATGTTTTTTAACCAAAAAAAAAAAAAAATGAGTCACCCTAATTGAATTAAGCTTATCGGAACATCAATGGGACATTAGAAACTTGGATTTGTTTTGTTTAGTCATTTTACAACAAATTTCAAGAATATTACTGGGAAAAACAAAACAATTTTTAGACAATTATAAAAAAAAAAATGTCATTTAAAATTGGAACCCTTCTTAACTCCCTTTTTGAGAAAATGTTTATTGACAATTTGACAAATGTTTTCAAACTATTTTTTTTTTAAGAACAAAAAATATTTTTATAAAAATAAACTAAATTTTGTCTCTATTTAATTTAGAGACAACTTAACTGGGGAAACCTCATTTGAAGTCCCACTTCTATATATTGTTCAAATCAAACAATAGTGGGAAAGCCTAGCTTCTTAAATACTATTAGTATTAATGTTTTTTAACCCAAAAAAAGAAAGAAAAAGAATTGACCTATAGTTCTTTCCAGATTACATGTTCAATTGATGGGGGTATGCAAGTTGGTACCTAGTTCTTTTCAGCAGTCTATGCCTCCTATGATGACTCTATCAGAGCCGACCAATGGAATTATCTACGTTCTCTTCATGCTCGGATTGGCCCTAAATGGATTCTCATGGGTGATTTTAACTCTCTTCTGTATGCTCATGAGCAAAGGGGTGGCAATAAAAAGCAAGGTTGGATGCTTCGCAATTTCAGAAGATTTATTGATGACTGTGCTCTTCTTGATATGGGCTTCAAAGGTCCCCCTTTAACATGGTGCAACAACAGAGAGGCTAGTCGAACTATTATGGCAAGGCTTGACAGAGGCTTATGCTCCCACCCTTGGGCTCAGACTTTTTCTCACAGTAGAATTCACCAATCTCCAGTTTTTGGCTCCGATCACCATGTTCTTTTACTTCATCTCAATGAGACCTTAGTTAAAGCTAAACGACAATTCTTCTTCGACGCCAGATGGGTCCAAGACCAGGACTTCAAACCTCTTGTTTCTCAGTCTTGGCATGAACCAGTTTCAGGCTCCTCGATGTTCCAATTTAAGGCGAAACTCAAGACTTGCAAGCATCGTCTCAAACATTGGAGTCGTTCAAAACACAATAACTCTCAGTCTCATATCTAGCACCTACAATCTCAATTGGTTGCATTGAAAGCTCAACCTCCTCCCAACAGAAGTGAATGCCTCCGCCTTGAAACTGCTCTATCTATTGCATGGCGTAATGAAGAACTTCACTGGAAACAGAAATCCAGAGTTGCTTGGCTGCATCACGGTGATAAAAATACCCGTTTCTTCCACCGAAAGGCTCTGATTAGATGCAAGAAGAATGAAATCCTCAGATTAGAAGATCACTCTGGAACTGGAAGGACTCTAAAGAGGATATTCGGTTCATTGCCTAATCCTTCTTTGACAATCTTTTCTCGTCCTCGCCAACTTCCACTCATCAATTATTCTGGGATTCTATAACTCCTAAGATCAATGCTGACATGAATTACAGTCTTTCCCAACCTGCAACAGCTGCTGAACTCAAGGTGGCTATTGATGGTATGGGTCCTTTCAAAGCCCCTGGCCAGATGGTTTCACCTCTCTCTTTTTCAGTCCAATTGGGAGGTTCTCAAATCTGACATGGTTTCAGCATTTAATTTTTTCCTTCTTAGTGGTCATTTATCCTCTAGTTGGAATCACACTAATATTACTCTCATTCCCAAACAGCGTTATCCTACACAGATCACTTACTTTCGCCCCATATCCCTGTGCAATGTTTCATATAAGATTTTCTCTAAAGTTTTGGCTAACCGTCTCAAACTTTTGCTTCATAACCTTATCAGTCCAAACCAGAGTGCCTTTATTCCATCTAGATCCATACATGATAACACTCTTATGGCTCATGAAGTTCTGCACTATCGTAAATCCAAAAGAAATGGTGGCACTTGTTTTATGGCTATCAAGTTGGATATGGCTAAAGCTTTTGATTGGGTTGAATGGCATTTTATTTCTGCCTTTTTGACTAAGCTGGGCTTTGACAACCACTGGGTCAATATCATTATGTCCTACATCTCCTCGGTCTCTTATTCAATCAACATTAATGGAGAGCCAGGGGGTCTTATTCACCCATCCAGAGGTCTTCGGCAAGGTGACCCTATCTCTCCTTACCTTTTCCTTTTATGTGCTGAAGGTCTTTCCCAACTTTTCAATTTATCCTCTAATCAGAATTTTATTCATGGAGTCTCCTTAACTAGAGATCTCGCACCTCTTTCTCATCTCTTATTCGCCGATGATGCGATGCTTTTTTGTCATGCCTCTCCATCTGAGGCCATCCACTTGAAGCGAATTCTGCAAGACTATGAAGCCCTTACAAGCCAAAAAATTAATTTTGACAAATCTGGAGTCTATTTCAGCCCAAATACTTCTCCTTCCATTAAAATTCAATGTAGCAGAATCCTTGGGATAGGTGAGGATGGGTGGTGCAACAAGTATCTTGGTCTCCCTGCATTTGTGGGCCGATCGAAAATTGACACGTTCAAATATCTGGTTGACAGGACCAACTCTCGCATTAATCTTCTCAAAGGCTCCCTTCTTTCCAAAGCAGGTCGAGAGGTTCTTCTAAAATCTGTTCTATCCACTCTCCCAACTTACTCTATGTCTTGCTTCAAGCTCCCAGTTGGTATGATTCTCTTAACAACAAACTCATGAATTTCTGGTGGAGTGGTCAAGACTCTCATAATCATATTTCTTAGCTGAGTTGGTCTAAGCTCTGTTCTTCTAAAACTGAGGGAGGTCTTGGATTTAAAGACATTGAAGCCTTCAATCACGCTCTTTTGGCAAAAATTGCTTGGAGGCTCACTATTGAAGACAACTATCTTCTCTTCCATCTATACAAAAGTAAATACTTTAAGAATTGCTCATTTCTTGACTCGCTTCATCAATCTTCATCCTCTTGGGCTTAGAAGGGCATTCAATCAGTACAGAATATCATTCTTAAATGCATCCGTGAAAAATTGCTGATGGTGCTAAGGTCAGTTGCTGGACAGACCCTTGGCTCCCTGATATTTCCAATCCATGCATTACTTCTCCCCCCCTTTGGATTCCCGGGTTGTCATTGTGGCCGACCTTATCAACCATGCTACTTTTAGTTGGAAATCAGATACTGTAAAACGCCTTTTTAATTCACGGGATAGTGATCTTATTCTCCAAATTCCTCTCAGAATCTCTCAAGGCTCTGACTCTCTTATGTGGAATGCTTCCCTATCTGGCAACTTCACTGTCAAAAGTGCTTATAAAGTGGCATATGCCTTAAAGCATAATTCTCCCTTGTTAGCCCCTCAAGCTTCCAGCAGTCATGCTCAGGCTTTCAAACCCCTATGGAAAATTTTTTGGTCTATCCCCACAAAGAGGAAAATCCAATTCTTCCTATGGCAGTGCGCTCATGATAGAATTCCAGTCCTCTCAAACCTCGAAGTTAGAGGTATTGTCAAGGATGCTATCTGCAAGCGAAGTGGCCTTGAGCCTGAATCCACATTCCATCTTCTCTGTAGATGCCCCTCATCTCTCATGGTTTGGCGTATTAGTTCCTTGCGGCTGTGTTTTGATTCTATTTGCATTTTTTGGGCCACTCAATGGAATCTCCTTATTGATTCTTGGCAGCCTCTCCCTAATGGCAAATCCAATTTAAGCCTTGCCTCCTTCATCTATTGGCAAATTTGGAAGGCTCGCAACGATTGGCACTTTAATTCCACTCATTGGAATCCCAAAGCCATTCTGGATAGAATTATGCTTAATTTTCATGAACTCTCTAATATATCCACCTTGGACACTCGCCTCCATACTCATCTCTCCCCTTCCTCCCCTCCTTCTCATTGGGTTCCCCCTGCTGAAGGAAAATTAAAACTTAATATTGATGCTGCTTTCTCCTTCCCGTCCAAATCAGCTGGCGGCGGATTTGTCCTTCGTGATCACAAAGGTAAAACAATCAAAGTTGCTTCAGTTTTCTCGCCCTTTATTTCTAACCCAGAAGTCGCTGAGTTCCACGTTCTCCGAGAAGGTCTTTCTCTCCTTATCCACTGGGGCTATTCTGAAGTCATCATTGAAGGGGACTGACTGCCTTAACTTATTTCAGCTTTCTCCCTCTAACCATTTGTCCAGAGTTCTAATGGAAGACATTGTTCTTCTTCTAAACGATCACAAGGGCTTCTCCCTTTCCTGGACTCCAAGGATTTGCAACTCCATTGCCCACTCAATTGGCAAATGGGCTCTCAGTACCTGTCGAGGTGATGTTCACCGGCCTGTGTGGCCTTGTTGGCTTGTTTCAGCCCTTGATGTTGAAGCCTCTCCCTTTTCTATTTCTTAGTTTTCCTTTTCCTGTTGTCTTGTGAAAAAAAAAAAAAAAAAAAAAAAAAAAAAAAAAAAAAAACAACAAAAAATTAAGCTTAACGGAAGATCAATGGGACAAGGCAATTTAACATGGCATGGAGACATTTGGACCGGAGAGCAAGTTTCAACGACACAATCAATAACACTAACACTTGTTATGATTGTTTGTTGCTTTGAAATTTTAAGTATTTTCATTATTTTATTATTATTATTATTATTATTATTTTTTTTTTTTTAAGGACTAAAATTTATGTGTTACACTTGCTCAATGTTTAGTTATAAGTAATTATGTGTTCATCAATTAAAATTGAATGGTAATATTTGTACTTCTCTTTTCTACAACTGAATTTTTTTTTTTTTTTTTTTTTTTTTTTTTTTTTTTTTTTTCATCTAAACAAAGGACAAAAGATGCATAAACTCTTTAATGCATAAAATCTTATTTTATAATACTAAAATGACCCCTTTCATTATAAACTTTAACTCTTTATTATTATTATTATTTTAACATTCTTTAAAAAAATAAAAAGAATTGTTACCCAACTTAAAAGGTTGAAGAAGCAACTGAATATGTACTTTTTCAAATTTTGATAGGAAAAGCAACATATTATGTACTTTTTTCGAACAGGCCTTTGGTAGAAGAGAAAACCTAAGCCGATAAGAAAGTAGATAAGTAAGGGAAGACTTAAAAATCCAAAAATAAAAAAATAAAATTCAATACATAACGTACAAAATTGAAAGAATTTGATCATCATAATTTTGGACTTAGATCCCATCAGGTCTTGTGGTTCCTCAAAATTACAGCCGTTTTTAAGCACAACAACTCACCCTTATTATAACCTTTCAAAAAAATAATAAACTTATCATTATTTATTATATATATTTTCTTTATTTTCTCTTTCCTTCCAAATTTATCACTCTATTTTCTCAACCTCTTACATCCCACCCTCTAATCATGACCATATCCATTTCATACAACTCCACCCCTCTAAATATGGCCACCACCCCCTCCCCTTTCAACCTCCTACCACCACCCCCTCTCCACTAACCACCATATTTATAGACGCATATACATTGACAAGACTATGCACTTAAACCCATATATATAAATTTAATTTGAACAAAAAATCAATATATCCACACTGAATCAAAACATATACATAAAATCACACATTGTTCTTCGTTGTTTAAAATCCCTTATTTTTTATTTTTATTTTTTACAATTAGTTTTCATCAAGTTGATTTATTTTGAGGGCTGATTAATATTCCAAAAATAAAACATGCTATTTAAAGGAATGAGCAAATATCACATAAATTAGTTTTATGTGACTGCCAATTTTGCTCCGAATGTCAATGTTTTAAGGCACAAGATGTGATTAGGGAATCCGAATCCCATAAATTTCTCAAAAGAAATTATAAATCCGCTGAAATTTTATCTAATATCTCCTTATGAAAATAATAAAAGATTTTTAACAAAGAAGAAGAATGTGGATATATTAGTATATGAACGCTCCTCGCTGATAGTGCTAGTACTATCATCTCTGCTCTTGGTTGAGTTAATATGAAAAACAAAAGAAATAAAAATCGAAGGGGCGAGAAATTGATCTTGTGAATTCAACAGCTGAGGGTTCAGGGATCAAAAATAAATTGAAACGCGCAAGTCTTTGTGGAGGGAGTTAGGTGCTTCTTGTAACCATTCTCATCGGTTCCATTAACACTAGAATATAATGCCCACATGAAATGATGATGACGGTTGGCATTTAACCCCTTCAATCAAGTTTCAAGGCACACAATTGAAACTATAATTGAGGAAAGAAAAATGATACAACTTCCGACCCAATCTACCGACATATCCTCCGAATCCAACGTGGATAGGCCACGTCAGACCCAAAAACACACAGCTCTTTCTCTCTCTCATTCTCTCTCCACGAATCCCCTCTCTCCTTCTGTTTCTTCCATTGTTCTTCATTTCTCCACTCGGTACCTTCCATTCGAGGGTCCATTCTGTTACTAAAGCTCCGGACTGACTTCAATAAAGGAGGAAATTGGATTAACAACCGTGACTAAGTGCCCATAGGAGCCAAAGACCTCAGATCCGGCGACGGCTTGGCCAGTGATGTCGACGGAGGTAGCCTGGCTTAAACCGAGGATGGTCCCCTTTCGAAGCCAAAGTTTTCCGTCATTGGTTACTGGTCAAAAGCTGCTCACAGAATGGGAAGATAAAGCCCATATAGCTCAATTTTAAGCATTGGAGAGGACTGACTTGCAGGAGAAAGGAAGGGGTGGAGCAGGCAAGTCCCGCTAGAAGCTGACCAGAGGAGGTCACTTGGTTGGATCTGTTGTGGCGGTGTCGTCATCGGGAATGATTTGAAGCGACAAAGTTTCCGGCGGCACGCCTCCAAGCAACTGAGAGATGAAATTCTTAATTTGATGATGATTGGGGTACGATATTCATGATCTCTAATCCTTCTTTTTCTCATACCCTCTCTGTGTATTTCTTGTGGGAGGAGATGATATTTCGGTTGTTTAATTACTGGTGTTCAAGTCTTATTATTGGCCGTCCATCTCTGCCGTCGCCCTCATCCGAGCCATTATCTGTGTCACTGAGATCCTTGTTCGCCGGAGTTCCGGTTCAGTCCCGCTGCTTCACCTTCGCTGGTGTTCTCTCTGTTTCTTCCGTCCTTGTCCACCGGCACCGGCCTTCTGTTCAATGCCCCTGCACCTTCCTCTAGCTCTCAGTTTGGCGGCGATGCAAGGAGTGGCGGCAATGAATCGCCTGTACCTTTCTTCTCTATAAACCCATTTGTCTCGCCTCTCTCTCTTTCTAACCCATTTGTCATCTTCAACCACCACCACCGTCAAATTGAATTTTCAATCAGATTCCTCACATTTACTATCACTATGTAAATAAATTGAGAAAGAGATGAGTTTTTTTTTTTTTTTTGGCTGTCGGGTCTTTCAGAAAGAGAAAGTAAAGGTATGTCGTGGCATGATATGTGGGATGTCATGGCATGCCAAGTCTGATTCGGACGATTTTTCGGTGATTGGGGTCGGAAGATGTATTAGGGCTCTTGGGGTTCATTTGGTTAGACGGAAATAGATGGTGGAAAGTAAAAGTGAAATAAAGTGAAGTGAAGGAAATGAAAATTAAGTTTTTATGGTGCATTTGGTTAGTATGAAAATTTTTAAAAAAGTTGTGAGAAAATATTATGTTGTTAGTTTGGATAGAATGAAAGAGAAAAGGAAATGATTGTACTTGTCAAAATTGCCCTTATAATTTTAAATACTAAAAATATAAATAAATTTGAGTAAAATTAATTAATGCATCAAATTTTATTGTTGATAATAATATTCTTAACTTGTATGAGACACCAAGTCACCTGAATTACTTTAGTCAAAAATATTTTAATATATATATATATATATATATATATATATGATTTAGACATTACAATTTATATAGTAATTGGAAAGACTTTGATGAAATCGAATAAGATTAGGATTGTTCCACTAGATGTTTGTTTATATTAGAATAACCAATACCAATAGAATTTTACATATACCAATCAAGTTTATGAATGTTTTCTTTTTGAATTCAACTAAAATTATATAACTATAGAATATTTTGTATTTTTCTTTTTAATAAACGTATATATTTCTTAAAACTTATAATAACTTTAATATCCAAATTCTAAAATCTAGTTGATATGTAAATATACATATTGTAAATTAATATAATGCACTTAAAAAATACCCACCATAATATGTTATATGTATATATCTATTTGAAAGGGGAAAAAAAAAAAGAAGAAGAAGAAAAAAAATGAGGAAAAAGAATAAAGCAATAAAAATAGATTAAAAAAAAATGCTAAAAATAAGATCTCCCCAATTTCATGAGTTCATTTACTTTTGAAAAAAAAAATGTCTCTCAAAAAGGAGAAAAAGATAAAAGGAAACCCAACTGATAATTATGGGTATAATAGGAATTTAAAATATAACTTCACAACTTTTCCGAGAAACAAAATTTTTCGCGTGTTTTATACATGAATCGTTTTAAAGAAAATTAGCTACTTTCGGAATCCCAGTTTCCTGAAAACTTTCCCATTCATCCTAAACAAACGCACAAAAAGTTTAAATATTTTTTGATTCTTTTCCTTTCTTGCTAGTTCTATCTAACCAAACGAACCCTTGAGGAAAACTATTATACTTCATATCATATGACAGTTGAAATTCACTACTTTCTCTTTGTACAAAAGGAAATTAGGGGCAAAGTGCGACCATGTGAGGGCAAAAAATTTCACCCATCAGAGCACGACACCCAGACAGAGGCATCAATAATAGCTGAACACGTGTTTTCACCAAAAGCCCATAAGGGAAGACCATTTCACGAAGATGGACTGAACGGGCATAAACCCGATCCAAGATTACGGGCCGCAAGACTAAGACGAATTGTGGATAGCCTATTAAGAAAAAGCATAATCCTAATTCTAGGAGAAGGAATATATAATAAGATAGGAAAGGAAAGAGAAAAATAAGGAAAACTTGTCCAATTTTAGAACCAATGCTTTCGGAGGTGCACTAGACTTGGTTTATTCTTACTTATTTATTGGGGTAAAGTGCATTAAACCCCCCTGAACTATTGGGGTATGTGCAAGAAACCCCCCTGAACTATAAAAGTTACAAAAAACCCCCCTGAACTATTGGGGTATGTGCAAAAAACCCCCCTAAAC